ACAGTTTCAAAGTGAAAAATTACAGGACGGGGAGTGGTTATGCAGGAATATACGTATGACACCATCTAAATCAGCAGTTCTAGGTCTCTCCCAGACAGTGGGGACCTTTGTTCTGGGAGAACTTCTATTGTGGGCCAGACCAGCTAAACTCCCCAAACAGACCTTGAGTGCTGCTCAGGCAGAGGACAGCATCATCTCTGTCTCCCAAATCACTATGGACTGGGCAAGTTCCAGGTCTGACTCATCCTCACCAATATCACAGCCATAGGACAGTGTCCCAGACTTGAGTTTATCTGTTAGTCAGCGGGACCCAAGGACCTTAGCTGGAAACTGCCAGGGGTTCCTTTTCCTAGACCTGCATTATCCACCATCATATGGCTACTGAGCACTTGAAATGTGGCCAGGACCCCTGAGGAACTGATTTTTTAATTGTCTTTGTTTTAAGTTTTAATTAATTAAATTTAAAAGCTGAAGCAGTATGAAACAACTCGCTTCTTTTAGTATAACAGGACTACATTTCGCTTTGACTGTTGAAAAGTCAGTATCTGGATTGCAGTGTGCTGAGGTATCAAACACATTCTGGACTTTAAGATTTATTGTCCCCCAAAAGTAAAATAGCTCATTAATAATTTTATACTGATTTAAATCATTATATTTTAAATAATTGGGTTAAATAAAAATATACTGTTAGTGTTTCACCCGCTTCTTTGTACTTTGTTTAATGAGACTACTAGAAAATATAGTCATGACTCCATAGGTAATGAGATAACTTACATACCTTATAGAAACAGCTCTAGGTAATGAGATAACTTACATACCTTATAGAAACAGCTCTAGGTAATGAGATAACTTACATACCTTATAGAAACAGCAACCAGACCTGGAAACCCGCCCCGGGGCCCAGAGGCTGCAGGAGTGCTGCCCCGAGCCGGCATCTCAGCCTTCTAGATCGCATTACCTTCCCAAGCAGCTCCCGGGGCTGCCGCCTTGGGGGCCTCAGCTGGGGGCGCCCCTCCTGGCTCCTGGTCTTCAATCTCTGCATTGACTTCCACAGGCAGATCTTCTAAGAGACCTGACTCTTCTGGGAAGAGCTCCTCCTTGGCCTGGAAGCTTTCCTTGACAAACAGCTGCATTTTCTGCCGCCTTTCTCCATCCTCAAGAGGCTCTTCCTTCCCTTCCACACCAATGTCCCCATCGTTCTCTTGCTTGTCTGGCACTGGCACCTCCCCTGAACAAGAGAAGTCCAAGGTGAACTGGGAAACATCCTGGGAGGCCAAGTACCTGCACATTTCTCTATGACACGTGACGAGTGAGCTCGGGGAACCGTCAGGAACCAGTAAAGAACCGCCCGCAGGGCTGTTCATCAAACTGTTGTGTATGGATGCTAAAAAAAATGGAGCTAAACGTCCATGAGAGAGATTGCTCAGCACATCCATCGAACAGAACACACACAACCGTTAAGAAAACAATGCAGGAGGTTCTTGGGAGACGCATGAGAAGTATTTGGGTCACGATGTCTGCCTTTACTTTCCAATGGTTCGGCAGAACAGGAAAGCGTGTGTGCATGTTAAGTATTTAAAATAGACACAACAGCCTTTCATTTTACTATGTTTTAAGCTTTCCTGAAAATTTGAAAGCTTTGATAGTTGGGGGAAAACATGCTGTAGGAGAACGTCTATTTTATGGAAAATATACTATGCTGATTCAAAAGAGTAGGCAAAAGCAATATAATTATGCCACTTTTCTATAAAAATATACATTGCATATATAAGGAAAAGCCAGGAAATACATGAATTAGTAAGTGACTTTTGTTGCAATTATGTTGTTACCTGTGCTTTTCTATGTTTCCTATGTATAGTGTATTCACATTTTGTAATTAAGTGAAAAACAATAAATGTAATTTAAAAACACACATGGAGCCTCTGGCTCCTCTACTGGGTATCAAATAAGGAAGAAAGTTCTTACTTGTTAAGGTGCCCTGAGCACTGTCCCCAGTATCCCACAGGCTCTCGTCGGGGTTGGACTGAGACAGACACAGGACTCACTCCCTCACTAGAAACCTCTACCAAATGCTGGCCAGGGGCATCAGGCGTGAGCAGGGGGCTCTGAGTCCTGGATGCGGGGCAGTAGATTGTGTGGGGAAGGGAGGGGTTCATTTATGCCAAACCTGCCTGTGGATAGAGTCTTGAAATGGGCGCAGGGGTGGGGGATGGGGTTGGGGAAGGCAGGAAAGAGAGTCTGAGATACTAGAGTAGCCCAGAGGATCTGTGGCGCCAAGAACATTTCCCAGGCCTGCCCTGGTCCTGCCATGGTGATTTGCACAGAAGATTTCTCTCCAACCCTGGGGCTGCAGCTTCCCACCTGGTTCCCTAAGTGTAGAACCACCTTGCCCCCAAACTCATGCCACTAACGTCACTTCCATGACAGTCACCTACTTCATAGCCCATGACCTGTCACCTGCCATATCAAAACTGGTTTCCAAGGCCCTTCTTGATATGATCTCACCCAACCCAGCTAACCTTGTATGAGTTCCTAATTTACAAGTTAATTCCAAATCCAGGTATCTGGTACTCCTCTTTGCCTCCCCAGGGGAACCGTGGGCTCCTTGGAGGTGAAACTGTATCCTCTCCCTCTGTTGGGATCTGCGACAGTGTCTGTTTGCTCATTCCACATATGTATAAGTGCATGTACCTGTGCCTGAGGTTTACGTGCAGAAACCTATTTATTTGTGAATGCCAAGCCCCCTACTCCACTAAATGGGCAGTAAGATCTGTGTGCAGAAAATGGCAGATTTAAAGGGGCAATAATAGTAATGAAAAACCTTAATAACAATTAAAATTCAAGATTACCACAACCCTTTGATTCAAACAAGGTAAAAAGGGCACTGACTGAGCCCCCAGTACATGCTGGCTGATTTTATTGCTATTAATGGTACTAAATGTGGTACCTATAAAATTAGTACAAATACCATATTGCTTTGATATGAGGTCACAATATTCATCTGTGGTAGACAGAATAATGAGCCCAAAAAGATGCTCACATCTTAATCTCAGAGCCTGTGAATATGTGACCTCACATGGCAAAAGGGACTTTGCAGTTATGATTAAGATTAAGGATCTTGAAATGGGGAGTTTATCCTGGATTATCCTGGTGGGTCCAATGTCATCACAAGGGTCTTTAAAAGAGGGAGGTGGGAGGTTAGAGCTAGAGAAAGATGTGAAGATGCTCTGCTGCTGGCTTTGAAAATGGTGGAAGGGGTCATGAGCCAACGGATGCGGGCAGCATCTAGAAGCTGTCTTCCTTAAAGACAAGGAAACAGAATCTCTCCTGGAACCTCTGGAAAAAACTCAGCCCCGCCAACACCTTGATTTCAGCCCAGTGAGACCCATGTTGGACTTCTGATCTCCAGAACTCTGATAAGATAATAAATTTGTGTCGTTTAGGCCCTTAAATTTGTGGTAATTTGCTATGGCAGTCCCAGAAAACTAATATACCATTGATTTTGGAAAACTGAGGCTATTTTAACAAATTGTGTTTTAATCACTAAAAGTGGTTTGAAACTACATATAATTGTTTGAAACTACATATAATTGTTGGGGTTTCTCACCACCCCTGGCAGGTGGGGGAAGCCAAGTGCAGATGGATCTGTAGATATGTGAGTAAATGATCACAAAAGTCTGCCAAATCCCAGAGATGAAAGTCTGTGAGTCTGACAGCACAGATTTCTAGTCTAAACAGAGCTCTGGGGGCTGTCTCGGCTAGGACACGTACCTTTCTCTCGGCTTTCTTTCTGCCGCTTTCTCTCTGCAGCCTGCTGCCTGATCATTGCCAGGGCCTCGATGCTGTCTGTGATCTTCTTCTGTTCTCTGCTCTCCCATCGCTGTCTCTCCTCTTTCTCAGCTGCATACCCTCCCTGAGCCCAGGCCTCTGCACAAGCTCTGTTCAGAAAAATAAATAAAGAAACAGAAAGCGGGGAGGTTTGATCTTCACAGGTTAAAGGTAAATTCAAAACATATACTATCTGACCAAACGTGTTCATTTCTCTCCAAATCAAACCTAAGGTGCATAGGACATGTGACTGTAAGGACAGAAGTTAACACATGTACATTTTAATCTTTAAAGTCGCATGGTTTGCAAAGCCTTCTAGATATAATGCCAAAAGTACAAGTGACAAAAGGAAAAATTGAGAAATTGGACTTCGTCAACATCGAAAATGCTAGTAATGCAAAGAATACCATAAATATAGTAAAAGACAATGCAGAATATAAGAAATATTTGCAAATCATTGACAAGGGACTTGTATCTAGAATATACAAAGAACATTCATAACTCACTGATACAAAGACAACACAATTTAGAAATAGGCAAAGCTTAAAAGAATGAGATGACAAGCCACAGACTGGGAGAAAATATATTCAAGAAAGATAACTGAATAATGGCTTGTATACACAAAAATACAAAGAACTATTAAAATTAAAAAAAAAAAAACAATAACATGGGCAAAAGATCTGGATAGCTCAGCAAAAGAGATATACAGAGGCAAATAAGCATATAAAAAGATGTTCAACATCAGATGACATTAGGGAAATACAAATTAAAACGAGATATCACAACAAATCTATTAGAATGGCTAAAACCCAAAACACTGTCGGCATCAAACACTGGTGAGGAATGAAGAACTCTCCTCATTCATTGCTGATGGGAATGCAAGACAGTGAAGCCACATTGGAAGGCAGTTTGGCAATTAGAAATCTAAACATAGTCTTAACGTATAATCCAGCAATCCTCCTCCTCAGTATTTACCCAAATGAGTTGAAAACAAACATCTACACAAAAACCTGCACATGAATATTCATAGCAGCACTATTCACAAGAGCCAAAAAGTGGAAACCACCCACATGTCCATCAACTGATGGGTAAAGAAAATGTATATCTAAATAGAATATATTATTTTGCAACATTATTTTGGAATGAATTACTGACACCTGTTACAATGTGGATGAACTTTGAGAACATTATGCTAAGTGAAAGAAGCCAATCACAAAAGACCACATACTGTATGAAATGTCCAGAATAGGCAAATCCACAGAGATAGAAAGCAGATTTGTGATTGTTAGGGGCTAGGAGGAGGAGAATGGGGAGAATCTGTTCATGGATAAGGGTTCCTTTTTGGGGTGATGAAAATATTCAAGAATTGATTGTGCTGATAGTTTAGTATAGTCACTCTGTGACTATACTAAAAACCACTGAATTGTACACTTTAAATGGGTGAACTGTTCTAGGGGTTGTAGATACAGCAGATAACAGGAGATGACATTGCTCTCTCTGTTAGAGCTGCCCTTTTTATGGGGAAAGACAGACCTTAAACAAGGAAACAAACATGTCAGAGGCTATCGTGTCCTAAGAAAAGAAATCAGGCTGAAGAGATACCAGGTAGAAAAGGTAATACTTACACAGTGTGCTGGGTCATGAAGATCTTAATAAGATGACAGGTGAGCAGAAACCTGCAAACACCTGTGAAGCTCAACCCAGACAGAAATAACAGCAAGTACCCAATGCGGACCAGCTAGTGAGCGGTGGAGTTAGGATTCAAACCCAGGTGAATCGGACTCCTGAACTGGAGTCATGCTATACTGTACAGGGCGGTGGCTCTCACTGAGAAAGGTCGCCCTCATGTCCCTGTTTACACTTTCCCGTGGGTCGGCGCTGCCCTGGGATGGGGCTCAGAATCCTCAGCAACAGCTGCTCCCATTGGTTCACTCCTCCTGCGAACCCTTTACCGCTCAAGTTCACAGGTACTCAGGAAGACCCTACCCCTCTCTCCAGATGAGGAACGTGAGGCTCGGGAGGTCAGTGAGCCCAGCCAAGGGTACACAATTCGGGGCTGCAGAGCTAGGCTTGGAGGTCAGCATGCAGGCCTGGCTCACTGACCCCCAGCCCCGCTCGGCTGGGTGCCCTGGAAACCCGGTGCTGGGTGCATCTCTGCCCAACTTCCCAGAAGCAGGTCTTCTTGTTTTCTCACCTAATTGGAATGAAGGTTCTCACTTCTATCTGAAATATTTGTTAGTTTGACTTAAATTTGTGAGTTCAAAAACATATTACCAGCTACATTTCTTTTTAAATGTTGTATCATTCAAAATTCAGATAGCACTTCCCTTCAAGCTCTCCATGTTACTGAGGTTTTAGTCTAAGCTATAATGAATAGTGATCTCAATTTAAAAACACAGATAAAAGGAAAGTGACAATATACACGGCGGTCCTGGGTCCAAAATTCTTAATACAAGAGCTCTTATGAATCAAGGAAAAGCCCTCTCAGAAAAAAGAAAACTGGGAGGAAGTCATGAATGGAATACCTCGTAGAGAAGGAAACATAAATATCCATCAAAGATGGTTATTGAGACCAACCTCATCAGTTATCCAAAAATGCAAATTTAAAAAAGGATACCATCTTCACTTATCAGCTCAGCTGGCAAACGTTTCTTTTACATGGCAATGTCTAGTGAAGTTATAAATAGTTACAAACTTTCTAGAAAATAATTAAAAAATATTTATAAGCACCTTTAGAAGGGCTCAAACCACATTCTTTCTTCCAATAACACAACTCATTACATTTCATCCTTAGGAAAAAACCAGTAATGAGGTCAGAGACCTATACACAAAGATATTTATCGAAGGATTAATAAAAAAAATCGATGAATCAGTACTCAAAAATAGAGGATTTCCTATCATAATTATGTAGCCATAAACCTATTTCTAAAAAAAATATTTAATGATGTGTAAAGTGCTCAAAAATTAAACATTTTTAAATGTTTAATAACCATACTCAATTATTACATATTAAAATGTGAGCAAAAGACTTTTCTCTTCCTTACCTGTCCTTTGGAAAAACTGGTCTGTCGTCCAGGAATGTTAAGTGTTTTAGTCGAACAGTGACTGTCCTTCGATAGTTAGGGATATGCTTAATAACTGGGTTTCCTATCAAATTCAGGACACGCTGTAAGCAGACAGACAAAACCAAATTAATTACTAAAAAGTGAACGTGGTTTAAATATTTTATATGTGCTGTGCTCTAAGAATAAATAAAAAGGAAGAGACAACATCACGTTCTGATGACTTTGTTAGCGAAGCCGGAAGGACGTCATTGTTTTTGTGCCATGACGTCGTCCTGATAACTGGACAGCCCTTTTTTTTCTTGAACTTCAGATCCTCAGTCTGATTGCCATTCCGGAAGAATACTGGAAAACATTTCCTGAGGCCTTTTCCAAGTGCAGTGATTACATTAGTTTTGCTCACCCAATCTCTTCTACTGAAATTAATCTCAGTCTAATTGTTTTCTCTTCTTCCCAGCCAGGACCCATTATAAGAAAATGTACACAGCAGCTAGACAGATAAGAAGCAGTGACTATGGGAAAAGGATGAAAAGTGCCCGCTTCTCTAATGCGTGGGCCTTTCCTGCCAGGCCTACGGATCTCCTAGATATCACATTGGAACCAGGAAAGAGAAAGACATACAGCAGTGACAGCATGCCATCCCCCCCACCCCCCGCCCATCTTGTAACACTGCCACCTCCTCTCCTGCGAACAGTTAAGGAGACACGTGGGTGAACCATTTAAAATCTGTTAAACCGATGAAATATTTTTCATATCTAAAGCAGTTTCTATTGTTGGAGAAAAAATTATCTTGTGAACTAGTTAGTTTAGCCTTCCCCTAACTTTATTCTTGTACTGCCTTCGCCATTCTTGTCATATTTTCAAGTGCCCTCTCCTGTGGGGACTGGGGTGGTGGGAGCAGTATGCTCCAGGTGCAGGCACCAAGGAGGTACATGGGGTGTGGAGAATTTAAAAGCTATCATAAAACAGACTGTAAGGCAGGCTGCTTTTGCTATGGGCTGAATTGCGCCCCTCCAAAATTCACACGATGAAGTCTTAACCTCCAGCACTTCAGAATGTGACTGTATTTGGAGACCTGGCCTTTAAAGAGGTAATTAAGATTAATGAGGTCACAGTGGTGGGCTCTAATCCACTATGACTGGTGTCCTTATAAAAAGAAGAGTTTAGGACACAGACACACACAGAGGAAGGACCATGTGAAGACACAGGGAGGAGATGGCCATTTGCAAGCCAAAGACAGAGGCCTCGGAATGAAACCAACCCTGCTAACACCTTGATCTTGGACTTCTAACCTCTAGAATTATGAGAATATAAATTTCTGTTGTTTAAGCTCCCCAGCCTGTGGTAATTTGTTATGGCAGCCAAGTGAGAAAAATTAAAAATGTATTATTATATAATACAGATTTATATTATCACTACGTGCTGGCAATTCTAAACTAGTCCTAGACAGTCTGCTCTGCATATAATGCCTGAACTATTTTTCTTTTAACTGACTCACTTTTCCTCACTTATGCATGCTCTGAACAGTAAACAGTAAACTCAAGAGTTTTGTGTGCTATTTAAAAAATTTTGTTACTAGTACAAATGGCAACATACACCCTAAAAAGCAAGGAAGCCAACAAAGGCCACTGGGGGTGAGTCAAAAGTATACAGGTCCCATCCAGAGGGGTTGTCACAGGCCAGAAGATGGGACCACTTGAACATCCCAAATTAAAATAACAGCAAGGGTTAAATCATATCAAATACTACATATATAAATCCACGAGTTTATAATGATATTGAAAAACCCTTCATTGTCACCTTTAATTGTTGCTAGGTTCTTGACTCATTTCTTTGAAAATTGATAAATAAAAAGAAAAAAAACAGACATTTATCCCAGCCTTTCTGTATGAACTATACATTAGGGAACCACTAGTTATGTGGGTAAGTTTTTTTTTGTAGAAGTATTCCAGCTAACAAATGCAGAAGGAATAAGAGAATTAGAAAATGATCATCTTGTGACCCCTAATGAAATAATACATCTAGGCAACGCTCCTCATTGGCTGCTAAAACAAGATCAGTGGGGGAATTTACAATGGCTGGATCAGGCTGACAATACCTGAGCCCACCAATCAATCTTACAGTTACAAAAAGAGAGGCCACCAGATATTACATCACATCCCAAAGTTAAGTATCGAACCTGGATCTGATCAAGCCTCTGGCTCCATTATCATTTTATAAGAAATATTGGGGGCCAGGTTGATGGAGACTCAGATGTGGCTGCTGCCTGCCTCAGTGTCCATGGGGAGTGGGTAGGCTTGGTAGGAGAGGTGATGGATTCTGCTAGCACTGCTGTCTGGGCACGGGGCTGCCCCTCCAGCCTTCGCCCTGAAGCCCTGTGGGTCAGTCCTCCTTGTGTGTCCCTGGCACCTTTTGGGCTGCTGCCCCAGCACTGGAGCTTGGAGCAACTGTGCGCCAAAGGATAAGACAGAGAATGCTGAGGGGAATTCCTGACACGCATTTCTTTTCCAACAATATTTTTGTAAACATGTGCATATATTTTTTTCTTTTTAAAAGATATTTCTGATGCTTTTCGATTGAGCTTGATAATTCTCATGTATCATCTATTATGCAACCTACCCCCACTCCCTTCCCTCCTACAAAATAAAATAAGTGAAAAGGCAAACAAACAAACAAAAAATAAATATTGGGTACAGCAGAATATGTTAAATGACACCATGAGGATGCAATCAACCAAATCCAGAATGCGGCACACTACCAGAGAAAGGACCCAGTCTCCTTGACAGATTAATAGTGTGGTGGTGGGAGGTACGGGGAAGGGGAATGATGAGAGATCAAGAGGTTTCAGAGACAAGTAATCCAAATACGATGTGTGGGTCTGGTTTGAACATCTCAATGGTCAAAACGCATTTTCGAGATCAATGGAGAAGATTGAACATGGTCTGCATATTAAATGTAGTTATTATAACATTTTAGATATAATTGTATTTCAATTATGCTAAAAAATGTCCTTATCTGTCAGAGATACACACTGAAATATTTGAGAGTGAAATGGTATGGCATCTAGCGTTTAAGATCTCTAGCTAAAAATGCAAAGAGGAAAAGAGTAT